ATTGTCCGTGATCATCGCCGACCATCGACGATGACATCGCAGGAAACAAAAAAGTTTGTTTCTTGCGACCATCGCCGACTGCCACCTGCTTGAAAAATCTATGAGAAATGAGTAAAAGTTGTTTTTCCTCAACAAGCAAGGAAATAATCAACTGAAGTTTGACAGAAATCATGAATGTTACGTTGAACGTGGCCATTTTGTGCCTTGGTGGGAAATTTCGAAACACATCGGCTGTCATCTGCGACGATCACCGATGTATGAGAACTTTCGTGCATTCGCGATCGACGAGCATCGGCGATAAGCGTCGCCGACCGTCGGTGACAGTTCGCGATGAATGAGAACTAGGCTTAATGTTATACTCGCAGCCTGTACTGTATGTAGCACAATTTGCAGACAAGCATGTTTTGGCTTCCCACGCTTTGTGAATGACACTTAAGTGGTGGCGGTCTATAAGTACGAGATGACAAAATAAACACATACAAGCTTTCTTTCACAAGGCTCAAGTGTTATACTGAAGTGTTGTGGAGCTATAGAGTACTCAAACCACTACAAGCAAAATTAGCTTTGATTATATTTACAACATACAATAAATGTCTTTTGGTTCATGAAATGCTACAGAGTGTTCGATAACATAACGATATAGAGCAAATGGTATATATAGTTTCGCTCATTCTAAGCTTGCTCCTTCATTGCTGTAGGTTGCACTCAAGAGATAATTTTCAGGCGAATGGCATTTCTTGGATGAAATTGACGGCAGATGAAACCGAAGGTCGTCGCCAGAGCAAGCCCCTTTCACCATAAGATGGTGGATTCCATTCTCATCTCGACTCATTTTCGTCAAACTGGGACTTCAGGCGATCCAAATTTTTGGGCACTTCTTTTTTTTGCGAGCTTACCTAATAAGCTATTAACATTATGTGACAAGACTAACGTAGGACGAACGAGATCCCCTAGATTAACAATATTGTAATGAAACTGAAGTCGTGCATACACTATAGTAGCCTTGGCCTAGCCCAGTGAACTGTAACTAACCTGGAACGATAACTCCGCCGCCATCTTTGAAGCCACTCATGAGTGATGATTTTGTAGGTTGCCCCAGTCCTTTTTTACAAAATGCCGTCGAAAAATATTTTTTGAAAATCGATACATTTTGCCATTTTCTTTTTGTTAAGTACTTGGCAACTCCTCCAAATATTAAACTCGGACAAAAGAACTTTAAATAAATGTGCATAAAATAAAAAATGGTTAACAAACAACCGAAAAATCACACGTACAAGACGAACAACACGAAAAGACCGCGCGAAAATTTTTAGTTTTTCTGTGTTAGTAGACTTTCCAGAAAGAGTTCAGAAACATTTTGGCATCAGTTATTTGAGAAAAGCTTAGATGCTGTTAAAAATTCATTTCCGAGCATCCAGAAACTTATTTTTTAAAAGTTAAAATCCGATTAAACATGTAAAAAATCTTCGGGGAAAAATGAGGGTGGGTTTTTCATATCGCCCCAGTCCACATCTGGCTGGCAGAGCGCAAGTAATTTGTTATTTTTTTGACATTTTTGTAAACAAAGTTGAAAAAAAAATGTTTACAAACTGCAAAATTTGTTTGTTATTGACTGGAATAATAAATGCCATTTACTTGTGTCGTCTGTGGCTACACGAGTGAATGCTCAAAGGAGAATGAAAGCAAAACATATACTGCATTTCACAGGTAAGAAACTACAAAACAATTGAAACTTTTAAATATTTATTAATATTCAATTTAGTTACATGACAATAGTAAACACTACTATGACAATGGGTACAAATTCATAATGACAAAATGAAAAAGCCTATTTTTATTAATACAGGTTTCCCTTAAAAGATGAAAGACATCTTGAGAAGTGGGAAAATATAGTTAAGAGAGCAAGAAATGATGAGCAACAATGGAGGGCAACACGCCACACGTACATTTGTAGTAATCATTTTGAAGTATGTGACTACACTATACTCCCATCCTCAACAGGGCCGTGCAGGCTAAAAAAATATGCTGTACCATCAGTATTCAAATTGGAATTCAAACCGCAAAGCATACCAAAAGAGGCTAGAAGCCGACTGGAAATGCCTGAGGGAAGTTCCACCCATCAAGGCCATAAACGTCCAATGTCACGTGAACATCTATTGTCAACAATATATCATGATCACTGCTATGGAAAACGGCAAAAACTAATACAACAGACACCACTTCAGGAAATCAATGATAATTCATGTCAAGATGAAGAAATTTCTAAAAAAACAATTAAAACATAAATTAAAAAACTTACAGCAGCAATTGCGAAGATGTAAGAAGAGGATAGGGAACATGGCAGAACTTATTGACAAACTGCAAGAAGAGCTCATCATAAAATCGGACGTGGCAGATAAGTTACATGCATCATTCGACAAAATTCAATTGTCCATTTTCCAAAATGTCCAAAAAAATTCACAGAGTTTGCCATGTGGCCGCCGCTATACTGATGAATTCGCATTAACCTTATACTTTTATTCTCCAAAAGCATATCAATATGTACGTTCAATTTTGCCCTTACCCAATCCTTCTTTGATTCGTAAGTGGGCAAGCTCAGTAGATTGTGAACCTGGGTTCCTGAAAGAGGCATTCAAGGCACTGTCAGATGAAGTCACACAATGTCCAGACAAAAAAGACTGTTGCCTCATTATGGATGCCATGTCAATTCGAAAGCAGACGGTGTGGGACAAGAAGAATGATAGATACGATGGATTCATAAACTATGGCACATTAAACCCTGAAGATCCAGAGACATTAGCATCTGAAGCACTAGTCTTTCTTTTGGTTGGAGCCAGAACACACTGGAATTGTCCCATTGGTTACTTTCTCCGCAATAAAATTTCTGCGAGGATCCAGGCACAGCTTTTGATAACAGCACTTGAAATGGCCGCAGAATCTGGACTACGGGTATGGTCTATCACTGCAGATGGAACATCAGTAAATATCAGCACCTTCAGTCTTCTTGGCCGTAAATTTGGAACAACGTACAAGGACGTGGTTACAAAGTTGAAGCATCCGACAGAAGATTACCACGTATACGTCATACTGGGTCCATGCCACATGTTGAAACTGGCTAGAAATGCACTAGGAACACTTCATTCATTCACCGACAATGTTGGTATGATGGTCAGATGGAGATTCTTTAAAAAATTGTGCTTAATCCAGGAGGAACATGGGTTGAAAATGGCCAACAAGTTGTCCCCAAAACACCTGCATTTTGAGAAACATAAAATGAAGGTTAACCTGGCGGCACAAACACTAAGTTCATCGGTAGCAGATGCGATTGAATTCCTAGATAATGTAATGGAGCTACCTGACTTTAAAGACAGCCAAGGAACAGTAGTATTTTGCAGAACAATTGACAGACTATTCGATATGCTAAATTCTCGCAACCCATTAGGAAAAGGGTACAAACAACCCCTCAGATTGAACACACAGGATATTTGGGAATCAACATTAAGATCTACGGCTGATTACCTACTATCTTTGAAAACAGATACAGTTCTTGCCCAACTTCTTTCAACACATCCTCGAAAGACATTTATAATTGGTTTTGTAGCAGACAGTCAACATAAAGTCAACAATTGAAATGGCCCGTGAAATGCTATCATGCACCAACCAGCCATTTAAATATGTGCTAACATACAAGTACTCACAAGATCATGTTGAACTGTTCTTTTCATGTATACGTGCACAATGTGGCTGGAACAACAACTCCAACACTTTACAGCTGAAATATTCCTTGCGGAAAATGCTACTGAGAAATGCCGTAACTGCATCGAAAAATGCAAACTGCACAGAATTTACAGACCTGACCACAATCACCTCGACTGTGATACCTTTTTTCGTAAGAGGAAGCACAAAACCCCCTTACTGGACAAGGATGCTGAGGAGGAAGAGGAAGATGAAGAACAACCCATGGTTGAGCTATTGGATCAGAAAGGTCACAGTGACTTCACCGCCAACATATTGTTCTACATCGCAGGATATATTGTATCAAAACTGGTAAAGCTGCATGCTTACATGTCCTGACTTCATCACTAGCCTAACTTCCCAACCATCTACCAACCCTGATCAGGATTGCTATGGTGTTCGGTACAACAGTGCTGCAGCTGCATCTGCCTTTACACAGTTTGTGAAACAATAGTGGTCTGAAAATACCATCAAAATCTGTGTTCCAGATCATTGAGTATGCTGAGCTAGTGTTCAAAAGAAACGTATGCAAAGAAGGAAACAGCATTAGTAACAAGAAAAATCTGAAGAAGACAATGATTATGAGTGTTTGTCACCACTTCGTCGATATACACCAAGTCCTGTTTGCAGAACATGAAGAAGACATCAATGAAAGAGTGTTCGAAGATGAACGTCGGACAAAGCTTGTCAAACACTGTGCCGACCAATATTTTACATTGCGTCTTTTCACTTATGCGAAACGTTTTAATGCAAATGTTGTACAAAAGGGACAGCCAAGTGACAGGCATCGTTTAACAAAGTTAATCCTATTCAAGGGACAATAAATTGAATTTAAATTATCAGTTAAAGTCTAACAATAATGTATATATATATTCCAAATATTACAAGACAAATATTTACAAAGTTCATAATTTGTTATAAATATGTGTGAAAAGTTTTGTCATCTGGTCGAAAATTATGTCATTGAAATCGTGAGACTGTGATTCCTTTTTAATACTGTTTTAATCCTCTGGTTTTAGTCATAGAATAGAGTACGTGAAGCACTGCAGCGAGTCTGTCGTGCAGAATTGAAAATGGAATGCCCAGTACGTGACAGGCATCGTTTAAACAAAAACCAATAGTTTATAGTTATCATGAAAAAAAAGTAAAAATAATACAATACTTAACTTATAATCAATTATTCGTCGACCGGAGTCCACGAATATAGCTGAAACTGAAGCAATTCGTCGCTGTTGGAACGTTCGACTTTTTTGATTGAACATGCCGCTCGATATCCTTGTAAAATAACTTTAATACACGATTGATTGTATCTTATTACCAAGACATATATTTCATATTATAATTGCTGTCAAAAGAATGCAAAAATCTTATATAATTGAAATAAAAAACCCATATTTGTCGGTCCTTAAATATAAAATAAAATCGCGCCATTACCATCCATGAGTTCTCTGCCGACCGACACTTCGTGACAAACCCACGCAAAAAACACGCATTTATTGGCCGCCATCTTGGCTTCGGGCAAGTATGGGCATGTTTACTTGAGTTATCGTTCCAGGTTATTTACAGTTCACTGGCCTAGCCTGGCCTTGGCCTACATTTTGACAGTATAAGCAGACCTTGGCCTAGCCTTGGCCCGACCTAGGCCAGGAAATCTGGGCTTACTGCAACCGGTGGCCTAGGCTTGTGGAAATGTAAACATTTTCGGCCCTGGCCTGGGCCTTATTTCCATGGCAACGTGTGTTCACAGTGAGAGATTAGCGGACAACGTCACAACACATAAAAATACACAAAATTAATTAAAATTGTAGGCCAAAGTGAGGCAGTCTAAAAAAATAGTATATGGTGTAAACGCACCACATGCATTTACCTTGGTCTGACTAAAGCAAGGGCAAGGCTTGTAAAACACGACTTGAGATCCATTACCGCCATTTTTCGCTCTCCTTTCTTTTGGTAACTGAGATCGTGATAATCATACCCCAGTTAAAAAGACAATGCAGCGGCTTAAACATTGAAAATACAGTGAGCCGTATATATATCTGGAGCAAGAGCTTGAGTCATTCGGCCTATATGAGAAACGTTAAGCCAAGATAGCGGAATGACGTCCAATAGCTCTGAATGTTGTAAACAGTTTTACCATTTCCCAACTAATTCCAGTTTTTTCTAATGAACCGTATCGCTAATCAAGTTAAATCAGTTCATAAAACCACATAGTATTCTTTAAAGTTAAAATACGAAATTTCGGCACACTCCTTGCGGACCGCGCAGGCAAAAACAACAGAAAGGGACTGAAACTGATGACCAATAGCTCCATCTTTAGCTCATCCTCGTTCCCAGGGCTTCTCGGCTGGCTGGGTTGCCATATCGCAGCCCCATACCGCCGAGAAGCCCTGGGAACGAGGATGTTTTTAGCTTCACTTTTGGACTCGAGCTCTCACTCCAGATATATATATGGAGCTCACTGCAAAATATACCTGAATTTTCGAGCATACACGCATGCATGCATCTATCGTCAAAAGAGTTGGACGATTAATAGGTCATGCACATATCTTTGGCCCGAATTCGAGAATCTTCGAAGCTGCTTATCATTCAATAGCACTCGCTTAGCTGATATAAACAGATTTGACCTATTAAAATTGTTTAATACGCTCAATTGCTCTGGAAACACACCGCAGTGTGGGTCATTCAATTTAATAAAAAGAATGTTTTGTATATATCGTCATAGCAAAGTCCAATTAACAATGCACTTTCCATATTTTTTATGGACTTCTCATTTCATGCTTGGTGGACACCGTATTCATTTTCCTGTTTATTTGTGATCTTGGTATACAGTCTGATCGTCGAATACAGTTCTGATCGTCATGTAATGATAGAAAGAAATAAAGTTTGGTGAAGTACTTCTAGTGGATACCACGAAGTATTAACCTTCAAAAGTAAGTTACATTTTATTTTTACACTATTGTTTCATATAGCAACAGTATACGAATGCTTGCAGCTTGCAAATTTCAAGGTATGCGAGATTTTAATCTTAAAGTTTTAACAAAAACAAAACGAATCATTCCCAAAGCGAAATTTTCCTTCAAGATGTTTTCTGCAGATACCCTTCACCACCAGGTGCGTTTCTGGAAGTGCTATATCGACGCAGGCGGCGGTCATCAAAGTAAGATTATTTGCAGCATATCTTGAACGATCTGTGCCAATAATAACAAGACTTCGGTTGGTAGTGATGCAACTACCTGGAAAATACACGGAGAAATTCGACGTTTTGAGCGAAGCCCTTCGTCGGGAAGCCGAGTATCAACTTCCTGAAGAAGAGCCTTCGCCAGAAACGTCGAATTTCTCCTTGTATTTTTCAGGTAGTTGCATCTCTACCAACCGAAAACTTTAAGCACATATATTATTTTGTGTTGTTGTTTTGTAGCAGGTTTAATTTAATTTTTGGTCAGTTTTGGTCAGTTTAATTTTCTTGCTGGTATGATAGTTATTTTATCTTAAGTTCCCTGCCGTGTTTATACTGAGACCGCGGATCTTGGTGAATGTTATAGAAAAAAATAATTACTTTGAAACATTGTCAAACCAATGCCAATACGGTTGACGTTTCTAACATAATATGTATCAGGATCTTACTTTCATTGCTTGTGGCGCTTGGGTTTATGCATGCTGTAAATTTATCATTCAGCAAGGTGACCGCACCCATTTTAGTCATGCTGAATCTTACAGATACTCTACATACAAACTATTTTGATTGACGTTGTCGTCTTAAAGTCAAAATTCAACACTACAGAACCTTGACTGCGGAAAGCACTGTATTTATTACGAGATAAGTGTTCATGATTACAAGATATTGGTTATACATGTATGTTAGCACAAGTTGTTAAGTTTGCCAATTAAATAAGCATACATAAGTACTTTTGCTCATCTAAGCCGGATTTAAGAGATGTATATCCACTTGTCTGGCACTTGAAACGCGAAACTAAACGTATATACACGCGAACGTTTTGGTGCTATATTAATCCTTCTAGAGGTATCTGTTTAACCACAGTTAATGTTTAACGAATTTAAGCTGAACTAATTTGAGGAATACGGTTTGCTGCAAATTTCAAACACAAATCTGGTTTTAACGTACGCTATAGGTATATAGCTGTATGCGATAATTCGTTTAGGTGTTTCCTTTTTGGTTCTCCAAAGACCAGTGCCACGCACTTGATCTTAAGACTCAAGATGCGCTTAGTCTTTGTAAAATATATAAATCACAGTCTATAAGGTATCCATTCAATAACCTGACACGATGAGTTAGAGCAGAATTGGACATACAAACAAAGACCATTGTCTCCAGCATACTGTAATGCCAGCAGTCGAATCATAATTCATGCCAGGGGATCATCACAAACAGCTATATATTTAAGCCTCGGTAAACGAGAATGAGAGTTGATAAGAGTTGCAACTCTCGCTCACATTTGACCGCCAACTCTCGTCGACTGTGATGCACTCTCATCAATTCTCATTGACTTTGAACTGAAAATTAAAGCCCAGCAAATGACTTTCAGACAAGACATAACAAAATATAAAATTTATTGGCTAACGTTAGCCAATAAATTTTATATTTTGTTATGTCTTGTCTGAAAGTCATTTGCTGGGCTTTAATTTTCATTTTTAAATTACGCTTTCCACCCGGTGTATCAATCGCTACTGACTTTGAACTGGTTCAGATTTTAAGGAGAGTTGATGAGAGATTTCGCTATCTTGTAGTAATATCCAGTCAACTCTCATCAACTCTCATGCAACTCTTGTTCTCGTTTGATCGGGGCTTTAATTACGGTTTTGAATGCATTGATTTTAAAAGATTTGTTGGTCATATATATAGCTAAATGTAAGTACTTAGACAGCGAAGCCACAGCGAAAACAAAAGTCGCAAGTATACACAAACTTCGCACCCTCGCGAATATAAAATAAGCTTGAACAATTCATCGCGACGAAGACGTTTACATGCAATTTGACATGTCATGCATGCAGTCGAGGTTTTAGCGTTGAGCATTCCAATTTTTCAAAATACCCCATAATTATTAAGAGGGTTTTTGTGTTGAGGATGTCAATTTGGCGCGTGAATGAGATTCCTCAAATACTTGCATGCAGGGCATTGATTGGTTCATCGATAGATAAAACATGAGTCACTGCTAACTTTGGCTTGAAATGTTTTTGACAATTCTCTTTCATGACCTTGTTTAAGATTATCTATATGAAGAACGTTCGTAATGTTTAGCCCTGCAGGCAGAAACCATTAATTAACAATTATAATGTTTGTGTTATATAACCTCTTGAGAATCAAATGTGTTCTTGTGTTCATAAGTAGTTTAAATAAAGATTTTTAGTCCCTCTTTGTCACAAAACGTTGCTCAAGTAGCATCTCAACGTTAAAACTTAGCGTTAGTCATATTAAAATTGTGCAGATAAAGAGGATGTTTTGGTGACATTTTTTTTGAGTGGTGAAACCACTGAGACCTTGCGTATAAGCGAATCAGTTATAAATGATATCAGTTGCACCAATTAATTTTTCTATGTGTATACCTAAAGAGTATACATGACCTATATTGTGTTTCCGGTTTTCATGTTATCCTTAGCAATTTCCAAAGTTTTTATAACCAGAAATATCGTTTAAAAAAGAGGTAAAGTTGATTATATAACCACAGAGTCCTGGTTTATTAGTTTATAGTCCTTTTCAATTTAACTAGGTTTTCTGATTAATTTAATAGTCCAGCTAACATAGAATCTGGTTAATTAAAGCATATAGCCTGGTTAAACAGGAATACTGGTTAAATTAGCAAGGATTGAGGTTTTAAAACTAACCAGAAACTTTAGTTATCGAGTTACAATACATGAACAAATACTAGATATTATAAATTTAAGAAAATATATATATATATATATATATATATATATATATATATATATATATATATATATATATATATATATATATATATATATATATATATATAGTACAATCTGCCGACATGCATGTTTCGGCATTCAACGCCTCGTCAGTGCAGCTTGGTACACGTCTAGATACGTCTATATATATATATATATATATATATATATATATATATATATATATATATATATATATATATATATATATATAAAATATATATATATATATATATATATATA